ATCTCATGCAGGGCAATTGTCCCTTAATTCCTACATAGGTTGGAAGTGGCTAACTGTGCAGCTGTACTGACCTTTGGGGGCACCTGGTGCTAATGATTAAGGTCTGCCAACGAATCCTGATTATATTTATAATATTTAACATATGAAGAAGCTTCCATAGCACATTATCTTAGTTAACTTCCTCTTCTGTTATTGCAACACTCTTCTAAAAAAGGAAGTCACAGAGCATATAAAGAAAGTTTTTAGAATACAATTCTGTAGTTTTCAAACTCATTCCCATCTAGACTCTTCTCTTTTAAACTGATATTACTGATATTACATCTCTTTTAAACTGATATTACTGATATTTAAACTGATAAACTGTGTTAGACTGCAACTCCATCATCACTAAACAGTCTCACCACTGCAATGCTTACAGCTATTGTAAAAGTTTAGTTTTCTTACAGAAGTAGTCAAAAAATAGCTTTCCTACCAACAGTGTTACTTAGAAGAAAGCCCCACTGGGACTTGCTAACAGATAAACTATGGTATTTCAAAATTACAATTTCCCAGACGGAATTAATGTTTTTACTGCAGATCAGCAAACTAAGTTTTCTATTTTTACTAATGTTTAAAGGTTCCATGACTCTGTGTGTGTGCATGTGTGTGTGCGTGTGTGTGTGTTTTATATATATATACACATACATACATACAAGCTACTATTGAGTCTGCACTGGATCTCTTCACAGTACCCACACTTTAAGTCTGATGCTTAATAGTACACTAATATCAAAATGATTCAAGCAATAGAGGTACACAATAGGATTTTTTTTTAATTAAAAGCATCCAGGTTTGAATTGTTTTTCTTTATTAGGAACTGCTCACAGACTTCATTAAGCAGTGGAATATCAGGTTAAATAAATAAATAAAGCTCTGCGAGCTGGCAACATTTAATAGTCCATAGTTGAACTTAAAAAGGCATACAGGGTTGAATTTAGTTAGTATATGGATGGAACACCACCAAGAAATAGTGGGGTTGTATCAATGATCAATCAATTGACATTGTTGTATCAGTTGACATTGACAAATCACACAGCTGTATCCATGAAGCCACCAACATGAGATCTCAACTCAAAGGAGAGTATATGAATCAACTTATAGCCAAAAAAAGTTCCTAAAGTGACACACAGTTTAAAAATTATATAAATCAATTTAGTAGGGAATAACCATCTTCAAAGCCATAAATAATGGCGCTAATTAAATTCAAAATCATTAGAAGTCCAAACAGAACAGGCCACCTGAAATTACATAAAGACAGAGCCAATTTAACTTCCTTAAGAAGGAAATGCTGCAAGAAGGACCTATGCTATGTTGTTACCAACCTCACTTCTCTTGCTGACAATACACACAGCAGGACCTCTAAACTAAGTTGAAGGCATCCATATGTGATTACAAGCTTACACCAAATATTCTGTCATGTGTCATTCCAGAAAAATGGTTTGTAGTAATTTCAGCAAACACTCCAACCAAATCAGTCAGATATTTCAAATGAATATGTCAGAGAACTCAGAGAGTTTTCCTTTGAATACTGTCCCAAATTTCCATGGGATTTTTTAAAAAAAATCTTTGTTTAGTTAATGTAGTATTCCTCTTTAAAAGCAAATAGACCACACAAAGCACAAAGCACATCCAAAATATTTATATAGTTCTATAAACAATATAACTGAGCTCATAAAATGACTAAATTTGTAACAGTGCAGCCAAGATTCCACTAAAAAGCCAACGACAAAACAGAAATCCCATTTTGCCCAGGGGAAGCCCTTAGAACTACCCCAGTCAGAGCTAAAACTGGGCACCTTTATCAGGGCTGTCAAGCAGAAAATATATCTTTTAGCATAAATTAATTATGACTATAAGGTCACAGCTGACAGTTTCTGTGACTATATGCAACAAACCCAACATGCATATCCTTCAAGACTTTGAAGCCTGAGCCATTGGGTAGGCTGAGCTGGTTTGCAAGTTCATTTATCCAGAGTTACTGAAAACAATTTTCCAAGCAAAAACTGTGACCAGAATATTTGGATTTGAAAAATGATGACCTTCAAGTTATATATTTTTGACTCTATCTCACTTAGCATTTACAATGTTCAGCCATGGTACTCTAAAAAAAGTTTTGAAAGAGTTGATAAGTTTTAAAATTGTGTAGGGAACAAGTAGAATTACTTATTTCACTCTTTCAACTGCTCCTTATTAAAAAAACAAAGCTGAGCATTTTCTTTCGTTCAGTTTTCTCTTCCTGGATTTCTATAAACATTGCATAAATTGAGCATCAGCAGTTTAACTTAATGTGTTCTCTAAATTGCTAGGTTACCTGACCACCTAAAAAGAAATTCCCAGGGTAAGCCATGACAGTCCTTTATAGGATGGGTTTGTTGAAAACCAGGAGTATTTGACCCAAAGTGAAGAGAACATCAATTCAGTGTCAGAGAATCCAGCCTGGTATTTAATATGTGGAACACATGCCTGTTACACATTCATGCGTAGCACTCCAGAATGAACTGAGTTAGGGTAAGAACATGAACTGGAAAAATCCCTGTTATATTTCCACACTGGCAATTAACCCCTGAGATAGCTTGAAGCAAGTTGTTCTTTCTCGGTCATCTGAAACATGAGGATAACAGAACTGGCCTACCTTACAGACCTGTTCTAAGGGTTACTGCTCTTTGAATATTCAAAAGATGCTACATATGTACTTAAGGATAATAATTAGCAAGAACCCCAAACACAGAGCCTTCAGATCACATCCCTGCATGTGATTTACCGTATAGCCATTTTACTCTAAAGGAGTCATATGTGTCTATGCAGAGGAAGTGAATCAGGGAACTGGGCCTCCACTGAAGCAATTATTTTGGTACATTTAAAATGGATATATTTGTACTCTAGATAGAAAGCAAGGCAATGCTATAAAGAGCCTTCACATTTTTCACTCAATACAAAAAGCCTTAACTATTGGTTATCTAGAGAGCCAGCCTGCTTAAGGAAACACAAACACAAATGCCAGAACAGTAAATGCTGATTTGTTGCCCCATCCCTTACTTTATGTACATATAAGATTTGTAATAACAGTATAAGATCACATTTAACATTTATAGATCATTTCTGAGTGTTCAGAGCCATTTGCAAAACATTATTTCAGAAATGTACATTAAAACATAGCTTTACTAAGCAATACTGCCTCATGTTAATATTTCACTTTTTCTCCAAGAAACTCAGGAAGACCTGTTCATGGATTCTCTTATTCTTTGTCATTACAACAAACTGTTGAAGCAGTTTTACCAATGAGGAACAGGATGTGAAAAGAGCTTCTGCTTTAATCTACCTTAATTAGAGTCTTTTAGCTTGGCCTCCAACAAGCATGCTGGCAGGAAAGAGGGTACTGCCTGCTCCAGTATTTCTAAACCTTGACAACTTTAAGATGCGTGGACTTCAACCCATGTTGGCTCGGGAATTCTGGGAGTTGAAGTCCACGCATCTTAAGAGTTGCCAAGGTTGAGAAGCACTGGCCTACTCTCTAGGAAACACCTTCCAGCTCACCTGAGCAAGGCCACCTACAATCTTAACAGAAAGTCTGAAGACTTGCAACTCTGGAAAAACATAAATAACTGGCAATAAATACAAATTATAAAAAATATTGAAGAACCCACTTCCCCTTTTGACTATTCAATTTCAGATTATGTGCTTATGTGCTTCTTCTTACAATCTAAATTCTGAGTCTCAACAATACAAATCCATGGGAAGGGAGTGAATCTGTGTTGCATATGGGGGCATTATCTAATAATTGCTAATAAATCTTATGTGGTATGCTTCAGGTAGCACTGCAAAATGTAATAGCTCCTGTTATGAAAAAATTAAACATTTTCTCTAGCAATCATATACTCCTGATTTCAATACTGGAACACAGAATAACTTACCAATCTAAATTACTTCCTTGAGCAACACCTGACTCTCACAACAAATGAGCCAAAAATGTATTTGTTGCAATATAAACTAATAATCTGGAAAGAACTAAACACCATCACCATGGAGAGTTATTATCCCTCTTTGAAATAGCCATCTTTCTCTACTATGCAAAATGCTGTCTTAAGCCATTTTTTGAAACGGACTATAAAGGCCAGAAGCTGAAACCTGTTTTGTCTGATCAGAAAATGTGCATAAAACAGATAAAAAAAAATAAGGCACTGGGGGTGTTAAACATCCAATTTGGATTCTGAAATTCTGAACTGCTATCAGTCTATTTCAGAGTTGTATTGATATGCTTCTCAGAGGCCATACGCCAAAGAAGATAGAGCTACATAAAGCTGTTTGAAAACTAGGCAGGGGACAAACACTGAATACCAATAATTAAATGATATTACTAACTCACAATCAAATCATTAAAGTGTTACACTTTAACACATATGGTTCTTGTGCCGATCCCCATATACCTTAATTGACCCCCAGATTTAAAATAAGTATGTGGGAAATTATATCCATTCTCATACAGACATTCACCAACACGTATACCAGTCATCTCATACAAAGAGATGGTAGGGCAAATTCACAGAGACAGAGATAATGGGAGAGGCAAGGGAGACCTGCACCTAAACCCCTAGAAGGTTGCATGCAGCCCCTCTGTATCTATGCCCTATTTAATTATTTGTACTGCCCATAAATATTTGCCCAAACCAAACTTTTGTAAAGAAAAGCTTCCACCAAAGGAATTATATTGAAGACTTCCACAGCTCAAGATAAGGAAAGAACTAAACTGTCCACAAATTCTATGTACCAGAAACTTTTAAGGCATCCAAACTTGTCAACTATATGGCTCACAAACAGACAAGGGTCAGGAAAGGTGAATAAATGTACATAGGATTCCCTTTCACTAACCATCAAACATTCAGAAGAAAAAAGATAGTAAAGCAGGGGTATTAATCTTTTGTTAATTTAAGTATCTAACAGAGCTTCTTTTGGATATTTCTTACCTGTTGCTCATCCTCCATGACATTACTGGCAAATTCAAACATCAAGTCATTTTGCTGTACCACTGCTGCCATAATAAAGCATTCCAAGATCTCAATTTAGCATGGAATAAAAATGCTTCTTCAGCATTAAGAAACAGAATTTATCACCAGGAATGAGTTGTATGGGGCAGGAGACGTTGAAGGGAATCAAATGCCAGGCAGAAATTCTTATTCCGTCAGTCTTCCTTTTAAAGTGACGTTTTAACACTGTTTCTTGAAAAACCACTAAAAAAAAAAAGAAAATTAAGTCAGTATGAATAATCAAATAAAAATACAATAAATACAGATATTAACTTGGCCATGTTTTGATTTTATAGGACTTCGTTAGCATTTCTTAGAAACAGACAAGAATAAGGGATGAATCTTACAAAATGTGAAGCACATGTCTTCTGACGTGTCCCCCCCCCCCCCCACCGACCCCCACGAGCTACCAGGAAGAAAGTTAAACACTAACAACCCTGACTGAAAACTCGAAATGCGCAGTCCAAAGGAGTATGATATACCAAATGCTAGCGGATCCAGTTTGCAATGCTTTTGTTTTCCTTTCCAACCAAATATCTCTCTTCGTTATACTCCTAGAATATATTACAGGTCAACAATCTTTCAGAGGTGTAAAACACTTCTCGGATCCACTTTGTAGCTGAGCAGATACTGGGGCATTTTTTTTTCCAGTAGTATGAAAACGCACGGTGAGTGCATTCTTATCTCTAACACTGGCTTGTAAGCAGCAGGAAGGAAACACTGACCACGTCATGGCAAATGAAGCATGCAAAGAACTGTATGCTACAAGGGCTTGATAAACAGAAATGCACCAAAATGGGCTATGTTGGAGGAGGACTTTTAACTCCCTCCTTCTAACCTATGATGTATAAGGATCAGCTAAATGAGTACAGCCGGAAGTGATAGGCTGTATCACAGTTCTAAACCACAGCACGATTAAAAACAAACTGATCAAGGTAGGGAAGTATAGGTATTAATTCTTGTCAAAATGTTGGTGATGCTCTTAATGTCTTAAGCATGCTTTTCCTACAAGCCCTTTTTGGAAAGTGAAAGAACGAAAAGGCTTCGCTATTTTTATTTTGTATAAATGCTTTGTACTGATTAAATCGCTACTAAGCAAAACTACTGACATGCCTGTCAATCTTCTTACTCAATCACCACTGTAGATGGGTTTTAACTGTTCTCCTAATAGTGAGAAAGAACCAAACCTTAATTCTGCAAACTTCCTCAGCTATAAAAATGATGCCAGTACCTTCTTAGCAAACAAACCCCAGTGAGGCAGGAGCATGTTAAATAAATATATTGATCTTGGTTCTCTTCCTTCTATATCTACTTTCTGTCAGAGCAAGGTGAAAGTGTCTGGCAATTTGAGAAGGAACCTAGGCTCAAAGCAAGCCTTGCCTATAATATTGTTATATGGAACACTGCCACATGAAATATGTCACCTGCTAGAATTAGGACAATGGTAATTTCTTCTTTAACCCTATCTCAATTTGAGAGCTTCCAACATTGGAGACAATTTTAAGGCCAGAGCCCCTCTAAATTGGCAATTCCATCTCTCTAGGACATATGAACAATACAGTTGCACAAAAAAATACTGTATTACATCAGCTATGTGTTTCAAAGGGTTTGATTCAATGGCTCCTACCAGTGTGGTTATTAATTCTATAGGCAGAAGGGCTTTAGAAAATGGAGGTTAAACATTAGATAATTAGTCTGCAAATCAGAAGTCTGCACCAACAAAAGTTCTGCATCAACTTTTAAAATGCAGATTATTTTAGGATTACAGTTCCTTAGGAATAAGGCTATTTTGAAATAATGCTTGCACATCCGATGCTATGGTAAACATACAGTCTTCCTCAAGTTGTGCGCAACTCCTGTTGACTTCATGGGCATATTTTCTGGTCAATAGTTTTCTGACCAATAAAGCATAAGTGGTTTGACACTGCCTTGGCATCTAGCACTGCTATCATGCAAAGATTAGGAATGGGTGTGAATTATATTTAGTTTGGATAAAGACCTACCAAACTCACAGCTATGCTAGGACATGAGACAAAAACAACATGAGATTAAAAGAGTATGCAGAAGGGAAAAAAAACTGAACTTTGAACACTTAGCTGTTAAAAATCTGGATGCAAGCCCTTGTATATTCACACCTACCATGCTTGTGGTATTGAGTCAGTTACTTCCTCATTTCTTTGACATACTTCTCATCTTTAATATTTGTAAGACATTTAAGTTCAGTACAGGTACGTGCAAATTGGTAGCCCTGGACAAACAGTATGTTTCAATGAAGCCCTAATGAACAGAAGCTGATATAAACCACTACATAGTACAAAGGTAAACACAATACCTTTATTCAAATTTGAATACATATTTACAATTCGTGTGTTGTTTACAGATTCAGAATAAGAAAACAATGACCGTGATAGTACAGAAATGTGGAATCCTTCCAGTCAGTACTTTGGAACATCTTCATCTTTCAACTTCCAAATATTTCCTGTAATCAGCTGAGAGACTTTCTATTCTTGCTTCTGGAATTTTTCCCACTCTTCCTTGCAGAATTTTTCTACCTCTGAAATATTTGTAGGTTTCCTTGCATACACTGCATGTTTGCAAATCAAATCAAGTCTTTATTATAGATCTCCCAGAGATGTTCAATAATATTCAATTCTGGGAACTGTGAAGACTATTCTAAAACCTTTATCTTACTTTCTGTATTTCATGGTTGATTTGGAGGAATGTTTAGATCACTGTGCTCATGAACCATCCAATCTCTTTTCAGCTTCAGTTTCTTTAGTGACTGGGGGACTTTCTAGAATATGTTGATATTTGATTGAATCCATTATTTCTTCCACCCACAAATATTTTCTATGCTACAGGTTGCCATACTATTCCAAAGCAAAGCCACTGTCATGCTTAGTGCTTCAACTGCCTCATAAGATGTTGGATATTTCAACAAAACAATCCCAAAAATACCTCAAAATCAACCATGAAATACACACAGAAGAAGGAAGGAAGGAAGGAAGGAAGGAAGGAAGGAAGGAAGGAAGGAAGGAAGGAGGGAAGTAGAGGAGAGGAAGGGAAGGAAGGAAGGAGGGAAGTAGAGGAGAGGAAGGGAAGGAAGGAAGGAGGGAAGTAGAGGAGAGGAAGGGAAGGAAGGAAGGAGGGAAGTAGAGGAGAGGAAGGGAAGGAAGGAAGGAGGGAAGTAGAGGAGAGGAAGGGAAGGAAGGAAGGAGGGAAGTAGAGGAGAGGAAGGGAAGGAAGGAAGGAGGGAAGTAGAGGAGAGGAAGGGAAGGAAGGAAGGAGGGAAGTAGAGGAGAGGAAGGGAAGGAAGGAAGGAGGGAGGTGGGTTGGTTTTGGAACAGCCTTCACAGTCCCCAGATTTGAATATAACTGAAAATCTGTGGGGAGACCTCAAACATGCAAACTATGCAAGGTGACCTAAGAATATTTCAGAGATAGTTTTGTGAGGAAGGGTAGGGGGAGAAAATTTTTCCTTCTTGAAGATGCTTAGCTGGCTACAGGAAAAGTTTGGAAGCTGTTATTCCTGCTGGAGGAGATGTTCCAAAGTACTGAGTGAAAGAATGTCCACATTTCTGTATTATTATATTCACTGTTTTCTTATTCAAAATCTGTAAATAACTACACATAAATAAGTACACATTCAAATTGGCAGAAATATACCATGCTTAACTTTGTATTATATAATGGCTGTGTCAGCTTCTGTTCACGTTGGCATTCACTGAAAGATACAATTTGACCAGAGTGCCTATATTTTTACTTGCAACTGTATAATCCTGTCTAAGCTATACTTACAAAATATGCTGAAGGCAGGTTTTGTTCAGTTCATTTTTTACAAGATCTTATCAAAATTTGCAGGTTTCATCACAAATAGGACCAGAAGTGTGAGAATGAATAGATTCACCATCTCTACAAGAGAACATCTACACATCTTGATACAATGGCAAATTAATCAAATTCAGATGGATTTATTTGTTACTGACTGATTGATCTTCCTATTAAAAACAGCTAGAATGGAAAGAACTCAGAAAGGAGGCGTCAAAATGGCTAACTCTGAACTGATAAAGCAACCTGATTCTCTCTCTTCCCCCTTCTACAACTTAACAGAATGCCTTGCAGGAGGACAGGGCTAAAGTTGGCTTCTCGGCACAGTGGATGTTACTTTTACCTATTCCTCCTCTGTCCTCACTGCAGCCTAACTTGCTAACTCAGCATTTGTTTATGTGCTATTCCACTTTCTACCTAAAACAAATGTGCAATTGTATATGTGGCCTACAGTTTCAGTCGGTACATATTTATAGAACCTTGCAGGTTGGGGGGCAGATGCTGCTTTAACAGCATGACCATTTTAGACAGCGAAGCAGGCTCTTTCACAGTCAGTCTGTGGTACAGTGTGATGACTAAATCTTACCCCCGAATGTTCCCATCGGGCTTGCTAGTGATGCGCTATGCAGCCATCAGAAAAGCATCTGGATTCAGACTTGATGTAGCACCAAACCTGGTGTCAGCTGCAACCAATAAAATTGTGGCTGATTTTTTCCCCCTTGTTTCTGAAGCAAGTTATACTATTTGCTGGATTTTTTGGAGGCACGTCTCTGCTCCCTGTATGCCACAGGGCAAGATAAGAGCCAGAAGCTGCTGACTTAACAAAGCAATGTTAAATTCCTTTTGTGGATGATTGGAATGAGTTAGAGTGGTTCAAAGTTGGTCTCTGCTGACCTAAAATGGAGTCTTAGGTGAATGACTCAAAGTCGGGTACAAATTGGCTAGATCACAAAATTCTTCCTTCTTCCCTTTCACTTACAGAGACAGAAAAATTCCCTATCCCTGTGATCAGCAGAAAATAATTTTTTTTTTTTTTTTAAGTCCCTATCAGGTATGAGATGGCTGATGGTTGGCTGTAGATCTACTTTTTCTGTTAAAAGGCTACTCAGAATCGAAGTGAAAGATCATTTTTCTTTATTGATAGCCACCAATTTTATAACAGTTAAGCGATACTGTTACTAGTTTGTACAATAAGCTTATTCGAAATTTCTCCCTAGTTATTGCGTAAAGCATAAATTCCTAGTACACAGAAACCCTACCTTTTCAAAGCTGCACCTGAACCTCCCAAATGTTATAAACACACATTAAATAAAAATACTGCCATTACTACTTTTCCTCTGTCTCTATTCTCCTCCCCATTTCCATTCAGGGTTGTTGTAAGACGTACAAACAGTATAATATAGTCTGCAACATCTAATTAGACAACACAGAGCATTTGACAAGCTAGGATGCAACATAACAGAAAATGCCTCATGTAGGCAAAATTATTAGTTTTGTGTGCCAGCAAAAACTGGTGTTGGAGAAGACTCCTGAGAACACTGTGGACAGCCAAGAAAACAAATTGATGGATCATCAAACAAATCAACTCAAAGTTCTCACTTGAGGCACAAATGGCCAGGCTCAAATTATCCTGCTTTGGACACATTATGCAAAGACCTAGTTCTCTGGAGAAGGCTCTGATGCTGAGAAAGGTGGAAAGAAAGAGGACGACCAGAAGCAAGGTGGATGGACTCTGTTACAGTGGCAATAAGTGCACTGTTGGAAGACCAGAAAGACCAAATTAGGGATAGATCATCATGGAGAA